AAAAAAAAAAAAAAAATTGGTCTCATATATACCTGTAAGTCAGGAGTTGCAAGTGAATTCAACATTGACTTTATCGAGTTAGTATATTCTTTTTTTTATTTAATGTTGTTCAAGCTCCACGAACCGAACAACTTAAATAAAAAAAAATTAATTACAAATTAGAGGTATTTAAATAATTAAATGTATATTCAAGCGGTCCATCCACCAATCGAGCCTAAGAGACTAAAGCCACGAGCTCGAGCTTAAATTCGAAATGATCGAGTTTCGAGTTGCTTCTACATTTAATTTCCCTACAATTATTCAATAACATTTAAAGGGGCATAATTATGTATATGTGTACAAATCATTATTGAATTAGTCAATTATTTTGGATGATTAACTAATCATGAGCTAGTTAATTAAACAATTATATCAGTTTAAATCACACGTAATCTTCAAAAATTACTTTTTTGAAAGCAAATATAAATGAATGATCCCCATATCTCACTATCTCATAAAATAATAAAAGGTCGCATCAAGTAAAAATCAACAGCTCAAATTCTGGATTAGCTCACGAGTCATATCATATCGTACATTGGATATGACTATAATTGATTTATTATTTAGTTACTAATCAATGTCCATATACCCTTGTTAATTACAGTTAATCAATAGCACTTATCAAGCTTAATTACCCCTTTTTTTTTTGTTGGTAGTCAAGCCACGGTTCTGGAGTTATGCCCCGACTAATCCGTTGGTCGACCCGGGTCACGCACCTGATAGTGGTGGGTGAGTCTTCCAACAAGGGTTTTCTGCATCCACAATGACTCGAATCCGAGACCTTGCTTAATTACGCATTTGACTTGAAAGATATGTATAAATATGACATCATCACGTACACGTGTTGTTATTAGGCAATCGTCCATGACTCCATATGTTTATGTCATCTTAGGTTCTCTTAATTTATTAATTAAGAAATGTGTCCATATTCATATGTTTCATTTTTCATTTATTACTTAGTATATAATTTTGGTAAACTTAATTGATAAGTTAGCTTATAAGTGACAAGTTAGCTGATAATTGTAAGTGAACTTCGAGTTTGTAGCTGAAAGCTTATGATTTATGGCTGAAAAAATTAGTTTATATGATAAAAGTGTTTGATAAAATTAATTGATAAGTTAGCTAAAAATAAACAATTCCAACATACTTACTTGAAAATATTCTCAATTAATGAAGAATTATGAGATATGATCGAACTTAAAAAAAAAAAAAATGACCTGCCAAATAATCTATAAAGTAGCTTATACATTAACCAAATAATCTATAAGTTAGCTTATGATGCTCAGTCAACACACTTTTGATAAATTTGTGTCTTTATGTTCATAAATATTGGTAAATATTAGTTATGTCTTTAATTCATCAAATTAAAATGAAAAACTATTCGACCAACCAATAAAATAGCATGGAGATAATTATAAGTATTAAATTGATTAATATGGGAATCAAGGACCTCTTGAATCGACATTGGAGAGTGAAAGTAAAACACGTGTTCCGCGAGGCGAATTTTGCAGCCGACCATATGACTTCCTTCGCTGCGGAGGGTTCGGTGGGATACCAAGATTTTAGTGTGCCGCCCGTTGGGGTTCGGTCGTGGCTCCATCATGATGTGCTTGGTGTGTCTTACTCGCGCAATGTGGGTGACTTAAACTCATAAGGCTTTGACCTCTTTTTTTTACCAAAAAAAAAAATTGATTAATATTAATATACTCACAACTCAATAAAAATATGTCATTAAATTACCAAAGTTACGGTCTTATCACTACAAAATAACATTATTATTCAAAAATTTTATTTTTTTTATATCAATGTTATATCTTTTGGTTATCTTTATTGGAGAAAAATAACATAGACATACTTTATAAAAAGCAATAAGATGCCCACAATAACATTGCGTTTGGTTCGGGGAAGGAGAGGGGAGGGGAAGGGAGGGGAAAAAAAATTTTTATTTTTCATTGTTTGGTTCAGTTTTTGGTATGAAAGGAGAGTAGAATTTTCCCCTCCATTCTCCCAGCCGAGGGAAAATCTCATCCCCTCCAATTTTGGGGGAATTTGGAGGGGAAACTCAATCTTACAATTCTTTTTACTAATATTCCCTTCACAATTTAAGTTTTATGTCTTGTAAATATAATATTACATACTCCCTCCTATTTTTTTTAAATGTCATTCTAGTTTTATCAACTTTTTGCCAAATAAATGTCGTTTTGGATATTTTGTACATATTTTTCCATTATTACCCTCATTTAGCCAATAAATACATTACGTCTTTTCATATTCACTCTTCACTTTTTCTCAAAATATTAATCTCTATCTTCATTAAATAAGGTTATTATTGACAAAAAAAATATTCTTAATTAGTGTGCAACTTCTCAAAACGACATATATTAAAAATAGGAGGTAGTAATAAATAAGGGTATATTTGTCCATTCTATTTTATTTTTCCTCCCCCTTCCTTTTCTAACCAAATAAGGTTAATCATTTTCCTTCACCTCCCGTTTTACAAAATCCCTTCAAACAAGGTAATATTACGTTCCTTCCCTTCCCCTCCCTTCCCCTCCCTTTCATTAAATTCTCTCCCCTCCCCTCCCCTCATTTGAACCAAACATAGCCTAAGAAGAGCCTAGAATAAAAGACCCGTTTTTTTTACTTTTATTTATTTATTTAGTTTTGTTGTTTATTTAGTTTTGTTGTATTCGTTTCATCTTTTTGTCATGCACGAAAAGTTCTACATCTTGGGAAAAGACATGGCATAATAGGAAGCTCTTGGAGCATTGCTACTCAAGAATCTAGCTTATTTTTTTTACTAATAATGGTATAGCACCTTCTTCATAGGCTTTGCTAAATTAGAACATCATTATTGATGAATATTGAATTAACTCTTATAATAAGAACCAAATAATTACCCTATTTTCTTCACATATTTATAAATTTAATAAATATTTAACAAATACATTGTTATTTTTATTGAAAATTAATAACTCATCATCCATAAAACTCGATCGTATTATACTGCAATATTTTTTATAACTCATATCATGTAACATACTTGATAGATAAATTTAAAGGTATTTGTTCCCTCTCAATTTTATTTTATTTTTTGTTCATCTCTTATAATTAAGCACAATTATATAAAGCAATACTCTCATAGAAACTGAATTAATGTTATTATTACACATTATTGCCCATAGTAGTCTTAATTTCCTTAAATTTTCTATGGGAGGCAACTGAAAGTTAAGTTAGTCTTGGCTTTTGCATTTGGGAAATGCTACTATCCGGTTACGGGATGATTCTGTTATATTTTGTAGCCGTAGATATATATGTAATCTAGTAACGTGTAGATAATTTATACTTAAAAATACAACGAAACCATCCCGTAACTTGAAATGGGACACATAAATAACCGTGCCCCATATAACAATTAGGCCATGGGCCCATGGCCCAAGGCACAGTCATAACCCATAACTCTGAGTAAAACCAGTCACAGTTTTGTCGGTTTCAGGTGGTTTTGAGCATTGAAATTTTTCACTAGCTTCTTTTGCCATGGCCCATATAGTTAGGTAAAATTCTTAAATCCAAATTGTAAAGCAAAAACT